GTAGTAGTAGTAGTAGTAGTAGTAGTAGTAGTGGTAGTAGTGGTAGTAGTGGTAGTAGTGGTAGTAGTAGTAGTAGTAGTAGAAGTCTACTACTACTACTACTACTACTACTACTACTACTACTACTGCTACTGCTGTTCCTCCTCCGCCTCCTCCTCCTCCTGCTCCTCCTGCTCCTCCTGCTCCTGCTGTTCCTCCTGCTCCTCCTGCTCCTTCTGCTCCTCCGGCTCCTCCTGCTCCTCCTGCTGGTCTTGCTGGCCCGCTAATGCTGCTGTTACTGCTGTTACTGCTACTGTGTCTTCCACTTCTTCGACACCTACTGCTAAGCCTATCTCTACAACACTACCACCACAGCCACCCACCAGTATGTCTGTATTTATGTATGTATGTATGTATGTATGTATGTATGTGCCTATGTATGTATTTTTGTACGTATGTATGTATGTATGAATGCATGTCTGACTGTATGAATGTATGAATGTATGAATGTATGAATGTATGAATGTATGTATGTATGTATGTATGTATGTATGTATGTATGTATGTATGTATAATGTGTATATGTGTGTATGTGTATGTGGCTGTTGATCTAAATTCCTTCATCCGGGAATGACCTTCTTCACGAAGAAAAAATAACTATCGCGCCACCATCGCGGAACTTTCGCGAAGGCATATTTACATACCTTTGCAAGTTGGAACCCTGAATTAAAAGCTGCACGCTTCTCGATGACAAGTTGTTACGGGAATTAGAAGCAAGAGCTTCTGGCATGTTTCTCGGGTTTCAGGGCTGGAAAGGGCTGATTAGCCGTCTTAACTTCACAAAGTTTCCTTCAAGCTTCTAGATTGCAAAGCTTTTGGGGGCCTAGTCAATTGAGAGTTTCTGGGAGCCTGTCCTACCGGCTTCAGGGCTTCTGTAGAGCTGATTCAGGTTGTCTTAGGGGTTGATTGCTGACGATGTCCATCGGGGGGGTGGCCTTGACCTGGCAATGTCGACTGTAGAGTGACTTACGCGGAACTTACGCGTTAAACCCCTGTACGGGAACCTAATTTTTGGGCTTGTCGTTTGTCGTTGCTTACACTTAGGATCGATGACGCTACGAAGCGCTGCACATAGCGTGAACCGGAGCAGTCGCAATAGGAAGGGCGTCAGAGGCGGGAGATGGTTAGTAGCCGTCGGCGGTGGGTCCTACAAGGTTGTGGGTAGTAGGTATGGCAGGCAGATCAGTAGGAGCGGTAGTAGTAGCAGCAGCAGTAGTAATGGCAGTTGCAGTTGAAGTAGCAAGAGCATGAGAAGGGGTGGTGGTAGTAGTAATGACAGTGATCACGGTAATAATCGTAACAATGCTCACATTTTTCACAATAGAGAAAGCAATGGCCAACGTAATAGTAATAGTTAATAGTACTAGTCATAGTACTAGTAGTAGTAGCAATATTAATAGTAATAGAGTTAGTAACTGTAAATAGTACTAGACATAGTATTTGAAAGTAGAAACAGTAATTTTCAATACTGCGGCAAGTAGGCTCAACACATAACTTTCGCAAAAAGAAAAGTAACTTTAGCGTCACCATCGCGGAACTTTCGCAAAGGCATATTTAGCTATGCAGATGGCCGTTCATATAAGCTATGGCGCAAGGTGCTTTAGATCAACTACCATGTGTATTTATGTAGTTGCTTTGTTACGCCTCTAAAACCTCCCTCCAAGCCTTGTCAACACAAGAAGCCTATGAATTGTCTGCCTAAGCCCTTGCACAACCGTCATCACGATCCTTATCATCACTGTGAAATATCTTTACAGATCTTATAAATACCCCTTGAAAAGCCCTGCAAACCGTTCTTCATGAGCCTGAGATATTCCGAAATTCTAAAGTTACTAACGCCATCTCTTGAGGCCCATGCCTCGCAAGCTGAGACTATGAGCCCCACCACCATAAAGAAATAAACATCTGAGTTCCTTGCCAAATTCGACCTAAACCTTAATTTAACCCGTCATCATAGGCCGTATCATGTCGCTGGCAATACTAACCTAAACACAAAAAAAACATAGCTTGTCATATTCAGCCTCCTATCAACCCTAAGATTGGACTTTTCTTTCTTTTCATCCGAATGTCAGCACCCACGTAGAGGCCCTAATAGCCTTGAAAGTAACCTATATTGGATGTCAATCCTAACCGTGCAACACAAGCAGTGTTCGTTGCTTACCAACCCAAATACTGTGCATAATAGCTGCGAAGTTAGTGCAAACATTTGCCACCAAGTACTGCCAATGTGGATACCTCTCGCACCAACAGCACCACTCATATAAAACCAAAGATTGAACCAAAGCTCTGAATAATAGGAACATCAACAAACATGATCCTGAACCGACACGTAATTCCGCACAACCTCAAGCCTAACATCACCCTTGGCCTTAGCCCTGATATTGGTCTCACTGGTGACTCTCATGTCACTGCGACTACTAAACCCGAAGACTATCCATAACAACGTCATGTACAGAAAACCGTAAGACTCAACCTCAGGAATAGCATCAATGGTCACCCTCGCACCCTGCTTATATCCTTACTGGTTACCGTGAAGATAAACTAGTATCTTTATAGTACCTTTGGCGTATTATTCGCAATAATCAGCCTAACTAAAGAGAATCCTTTTGGCGCAACTCTAGCAGTAATCATTATTGACCCCAACGCAAACCCGAATAGAAACGTCAGTGTTGAGTCGACATTTAAGGCCCAGCTTTAACCTGATAAATTAACACTTTGTTGGGAATCCGGGTAGCTGAGAGTTACATTCATTACAACTTCGCGTCGGTACCGGCCCTTATCATTGCCTTGCCAGACTACCCATGGTAAACTCAAAGACACAAGGCTTGCACTTGGCTTAGGATGGGATCGCCACTCCAGTCAACATTGGAGTTACAGAGCACAGCAACCCGGCGATTTGCAGCTCGAACCCCCAAAGCCAAAGCAAAGCTAAACAATAGTAGAAACGGGTAAGCTTGACAATTCTGCTCGAACATACAGCCTGGGAAAGTTGTGCCTGGGATCTTCGATGTTCAATGTTAGAAGCAAAGACAATATCAATTTTGATATCTGTTGATAAATTGATCACGTTTGGGTTTGCCATCAGGCACACACAAATAGGCAAACCCTAAAACATCAGCAACAACAACAACAAAAGAGCAAATTTGATATGTTCCCAGCTATTGTTGGCACTCACCGTTCAAGGCACAGAAGAAGTTCATTGCGTTTCTTCTGATAGCTTGTGTTTGTTGTGTGTGTGGCGTTTGTTTGTGTATTTACTTGTCCCTCAACTTACCGATGCCACTAACCAATACATTATTGGTATGATTGGTACATGCGTATGCCGTCAAGTAGGCTTATGCGGGGATACCAGGTAAGCATACATTATATGTCCGCGCCGCTGTTGCTCGCCTGTTCCCATCTACCGCAAAGCCTAGCGTCTCCTGCAGACGTATCTTACAGTGGGAAAGTAGCCGCACACACCTGCGTATGCCTCTGAATGTCCGTCTCTTGTGCTGTCCACCCTTTGCTTCGCTCACCTGACAGCACTCCGAGAACGAGACTGGCGTAGCTCAATGGCCTCCATAGAAAAAAGTCCTGCACTCGCCGTCTCTCAACCAAAAGCACACAAAGTAAGGCCTCAGTGCCCCTGTCCTTCGCAAGGACACGAATCTGAGAAAGGTGGACATAGCACGCACCCGGTCGCAACCTTCAGGCACGAGAGTCCGCGGAGTTTACCACATGTGGAAAGGACCAGCTGAGCTGTGGACAAATGCTTCTCGATGTCCGGGCGCTTCAGAACTTCCTGCGCACCATCACTCCGACATATTCCGACCCTAACAGAACGCAAAAATTCGGAAAGGTGGCGAACCAAAGTCTGTTGAAACACTTCATCTCTCCGTAGTATTGCTGCTCGATTACGACTTTCGAAATCTATCAGGATCCGACTTCTACCATCGCCTCGAAACATCTCTGGTAGTGCACAACAATCACCCTATGCTGCGTCGTGCACAACAAGCATCCTGTGCTCCATGCTTGCATTCTCACACATCCGCCCATCTCAGATGACGAGTGCAGAAGCTGGAGACAGAGCGATGCGCATGCCCGCAGGGCACATGCGCTTGCATGCCCACTTGAGTTGTCGGTCCCCCGTGCTGTCGTGACATGCTATGCCGAGTGCTCCATCCGGTCGATGGCGCCTCCTGGTGAGCACGAACACCTCCTGCCTATGCTGGTCCCAGCTAGCTGCCGCAGTTCTGTGGCCAGAGCTCGGCACAGCAGCAGAATACTTCTTTCGATATCTCTCGACAGAAAATGCAGGTGCGCCTGCGCTTTCTGTGCCAAACCACCAGCAGCATAGTCGAGAATACGCATGGAGAAACTTGAGACCTTAAGGCTAAGCTTGAGAAAGAATCAAGGTTCTGAGTTGTCAGTCAGTCCCATGCCTTCTGCTGTAGCCAGGACACGGCGTACCTCAAGTTAAGGCTTTGTGGCAGTGAGATGCACCAAAAGCGGGTGCGGGCACCGCATGAATTCTTGCAAGTCCATCTCCGACCTGAGCACAACAGGAAGTCTGCGACATTCTGTGACATCGTTTCGTTCTCCCACGCTGAGGTTGTGGCCAGAGCCTGGGGGCCGGGTCGCCCGCATTCACGTAGACCACCTGAGTCGGCGCTCAGGGCGGAGAGCTCTTTCAAAAGCAGAGGCTGAGCCCACCAGCCCACACCTCTTTCTTTGAAAGAGATATGATCAACTAGATGGCTTCTGTCGAAACCCCCCCGGGAGCCACGCCGTCCGCTGCTGGATGAAGTCCGCCAGGTCCTGCGCGCTTGCACTGAGGCTTCGGCGCATTCCTCTTACAACGGCCTGCAAGTGTCCTTACGCACGTCGAAGCCCTGCATCAATCTTGCAGCAGGAATGAAAACCCAGGACCGGTGATCCCCGCCTCTGCAGCACCGTAGCACATGGGGGCACCAAAGGCAACCGCACGGGCCTCTGCGCACGGAACTCTAACAGCAAAAATGACCTTGTAGCATTCTCGCGCTGCCGCCCCACCTCTTCCAGCAACGGGTGGACCGGGGCGCCTTTGGCCTGGTCCAGGAAGACCTAGCACTGTCAGCGGTACTGCTCGGCTTTCACGTTTCACGGGCCGGCGCGCGGGCCTGAAGCATGAAGGCCAAGGCCTAGGTCCACAGCGTCCGATTGCTAGGGCTGCAGAAAGGCCGACTAGACAAGGACGTCTCTGGGCCATCAACCCCTGTGTCAGTTGTTAGTTGTTGGTATTGCTCCCCCCTCCCCCCTCAGGTTGGAGTTGCAGGTGCGTGGATATGGTACAAGTAGAGTCAGCCTCCTGCAAGATCCCAAGTTTGTGGATTTTCCCCAACGATGACAACCCATTGTTCGTCGTGTGGATGCACTGCTCGCGACTGAGTGGGGGAGGAGCCCAGGGTGGGTTCACAGTGAAAGTATGGGTTGAAACCAGCTGCATACTGTCCACCCAGAGAATGACCAGCGACGATGAGCTGACCAACCTTAGTGCTGCTACAGTCCCAGATGGTGCGAGTAACACTCGTGAGTCTAGAGGGGTGTATTAGCTGCAGCAGTCTGATGTGCCCAAGGAACCCCTTCGCCGGAACATCGCTCCAGCTGCTCCTGCAGCACAGACCACTGCTGCACCCGCAGCTGGGCAATGGCCTGCATCAGCGTTTCGAGGTCAGGGTGCAGGATCCGGGCAAGTCTTCAGTCCCAAACTATTCGGTCAGGTCGCATGATGCGCACCGTGGTGAATGAAAGTCGTGCGGTCGGCGAAGGTGGCATCAAACGGTGTGTAGTCTGGCCCCACGGAAGCATTTGCCACGAAGTCGTTCATGAAGGAAGAACCCTTGAATATCAAGTACAGCACCTGACGCGACTCAACACAGCAACGGGGGGGTCCCCTAGCTGTGGTGGAGAAACACCTCCTCGCTGAGCCGAGGAACAGCATTGCCGGCATGCGGTGCCGCCGTGACGATCGCCAGCCGAGCAGGGCTGCCCTGCATGGGATCGTCCAGAACACTGAGGACCTCTTCGTAAGCACGTCACGAGTACTGGTAGGGCCAGTAGGGACTTGCATAACTCTCCGGTCTTTCCAACCTGGAACTTCACCGGCTCTCCTCCCACCCTCAGAGCTTCATTGAGCTTCGTACGCCACGGGAGGCCAGGCAAAGGTGCAAAGATGCGGACAGGGCTCTTCAGCGTTGGCACGGCCGAAGGCTTCAGTGGATCTACGAAATAAATCCATTCACTCAGCCATGCCGCCACGAAGTCCTGAGCAAACACTTCCACATCCAGCTTGCAGACTGCAAGTGGACCTGTTTCTCACGAGAGGTCCTGCACCAGTCTCTCCCCCAGCTCGAGGGAAATGTCTGGAGTCTCACTGAATTTCGTTTCCTCAACGTCTTCAGCCATTTGCACCGGAGAGTCCTGATTTTGGCAGATGCTCGCGATGTATTTCACAGTGTTTGCACGTGTCCAGCTGTCCTCCTTGAGGGTTTCCTCTTTGCAGGTTTGGCCCTTTGGTGAAATCTCCTATCACAGAAGCGTTTGGACTTGCTGTTGGCCACTGGCAAGCTCGTGCCTTGACATCCTCACTGGGTTCATGAAGCAGAATGTTGGAGGCATCCCAGGGCAAGCCACAGAGCTTTCCGCCTGAACAGGATCTCGGATAGAACCCTACGAGCATCCGCATCACAGTCACAGGAGCAAGGCACCTATTGCTGCAGCGAAGCCCCACTTGCCAGTGCCAGAATCGAGGCCCGTCACATCGATGACAGAGGCTGATGCTGTCGCCGGGTCCACCACCAGGATGCATTGCCTCAACACGACACTCCTCGACGGAAGACAACGCAAATTCTCATAGAAATGCCGAGCATCGCATTGTATGGAATGGCATAGATCTTGCCGCCCATGACAGCTGCAGCTTGCCACTTGCCCGTCGTCTCATCCGACAAGTGGCCAATGCCAATCCCTGAAACCTCCTGGCGAGGCACAGGCTGCACTGATACTGCAACAACCCAACCCGAGGCCTTAGAGTGACGGTGTTTAGGGTTTCTGCTCTTGCTACCAGGGTCTGGGGCCTAGGGTCGGTTGTTTCAGCACCTCAGAGGCCAGGTCGAAGACGAGCACGGCAGTGGCGTGGTCAGGGATGCCGTAAATCTTCCCCGCACAAACCACTGTCGTGACCCACTTTCCTGGCCCAGTGGCAACGGCTGTGGTGTCGATACCACGCAGGCGATTTGTGGCGGGGTCGAAAACCAAAATGCAGTCAGCATGGCAAGGCACTGCATACATGATCCCTGCCACTGCGACAGCACAGAGCCACTTGAAAGGCCCTGTGGCGAAGGGCTGCGTCTGGACTCCAGTGCAGCGTTTTGTCAACGGGTCGTAGATGAGAATGGAATCCGCATTGCAAGGCACGCCCAGGACCTTCCCACCCAGGCTGAGTCCAGCGAGCCATTTGGAGTTGCCGGTCGCGATGTGGGTAGTATCGACACCCATCAATGTGTCCGATTTCACATCATAGACCAGAAGCTTACTGGCATGATGCGGAATTCCGTAGACCTTGCCTGCCAAGACCACAGCAGATTGCCACTTCAGAGGTCCCCGCGACAGCTTGCGAGTGTCCACCCCCGATGCTTTGCCGGTGCTGAAATTATACACCAGCAAAGCCTCTGCACGGTCAGGGACACCATAAAGGCTTCCCCCTATGGCCGCTGCAGCGCGCCACTTACCCTGACCTGTCGCAATTCGGCGAGTATCCACGAAACGCAGGGGCTCCGACTTGTCGGAGCTATCAAAGATCAAGAGATGTTCCGAGTTGCAGGGCAGTCCGTAGAGCTTGCCACCCAGTGCCAAACCTGCCCACCACCGATTGCAAGCAACTGGGGTGGAGCGAGAGATGTCAATGCCCCACACGGCTGCCGATGAGGATGCTCCCATGGTCCACGGGCCATGGCCAGGCCAATAAGTTACTAAGTGGGAATGGGCCCCGAAACTCAACACCTCAAGTGTTCTGCAACTTTTGGAACTGGGGCCTGAATTCCAAAGAGATGCAGGGAACAGTTCCTTCCGAAGTATCACAATGCATCATTCAAAGCTGCAGTCCTGGACCGAGCAAATCCTGCGATGAAGATCAGAACCAGCCAAGAGCTGTCTACAGTCCATGAAACTCCAGGTAGCCCAGTGCCAGAAGGTGGCGAATCGAGCTGTTGCATCTTTGCGGCCCAAGCTCTGCAAAGCCGCTTTCCGGCGCGCAACACGCAAACCGGGTAGGAGGAGGGTGGCTTTGTACACACGCTGCATTAGCTTTACGAGTTTAGAGCACCCTCAGCAGTACGTCTAGAAGGGGGATGGCATCTGCACCTTTGGCTTCCGACATCGTTCCCGCAAGGCAAGACGACACGGTCGGCCTGTGGCTTCGAGAAGCTCCTGGGGCTGTGCACTGACCTGCAGGCGCCCACACTGGGCCCGGGGCTACGCCTAGATATCTGACGTGCTGGGTGGCCTGATGGAATGGCTGGAAGGGCGGCTGTCAGAAGCTCGAGTCGTGGAAAGTTCGTCAAGGGTGCTGAAGTTGAAAGACCTCATACTCTGCGTGACCCGTCTGCTCCCACATCTGATAGCCTCCCGAGGATCCGGCAGCGCTGTAGCCGACGAGCCCCGCACCTTGAGCCGAGTCCAGCTTGCAAGTGCAAATGAGCAAAGCCGCAGCCTCTGGCCTCTTCTGCACGTGACCGCCGCGGGCCCTGACAACTGCGATGGCACTGCCACCCGGCAGGGCAACATGCGCTTTCCCTGGCCTCTTCTTCGTCACGTATGGAAAACAAGCCTCGGGGGCTTCAATAACAGTCTTCTACCTCTTCAAGGACGCACGCAGCCGACCCCAACACTGCGATGTGGCTTGTCAGTTCCCTTGCCAACCGAGAGGCGCTCAACAAACTCGTTCTGCGGGTTGTCCATCGAACTCAAGTCCTGAAGCAAAATCTCGAAACAAGACCTCTTCATGAAATGAACGTGGATGGCAGAGCATTGGTGGCAAAGCACTGGTTGGCAAGCACGGCAAGGCACACAGAGCAGCCACACAGCTGAGATTGGCACCCGGTCTGCTTCCAGCTGGCTCACTTGAGCTGCGGCCGCTGCAAAAAGGGTGCCCTGCAGACGACACTTCGAGCTCATCAACTTGCTGGAAGTCTTTCGTTCTGCAACTGAAACCCTCATCTGCACATCGCATCTGATTTATCTGAAACTATAGAGTTGGCTTATTTTGGCACCTGCTTGCAAAAAATGCCCTAATCATCCCTTATCAACACGGCACATGGGCCTTTCACATGTCCCCCACCTCCCAGCTCCTCAATCGGAAGTGGGAGTCGTCCGGCCGTACCAGAGAGTCTCTCAAAAACGGATTTTTAGGCGTATTTGCACCACCGCGGCTGGCTTCTTGCTGAGTTGTTGGCCGAGCTTCGAAAAGATGCAGAGCATGCCGGAGCAAGCGAGTTTGCAACAGAGAAGCAACCAGCCACGTGTCCCGACACGATGTTCTCGCGACGCACCAGCTTGCAGATGTAACCCACAGCTGCACGACCGTTGATGAAGAAATTACTTCGAAAGAGACGGTGTTCTCTCAAAGGGGTCCCCATCTGCCAAGCCTTGACGCAGCTCACAATGCCCATCGCCAGGATGTCAAACCTTGGGTTGTGGTCATGCCAGGGATCCCATGATGAGGCCAGTCAAAAGTTTTTCAGAGTCATGAAGCTCGCGTTGCATTCCACAAAAAAACTGTTCAAGATCCGACTGGAGATGTAAGGAACGCTGCTTCGCTCTGGGATTCCTTTCGGATCCTTGAAGGGCTCTGAGACTCGGACACCAGGGAGTCCAGCAGCAGCAACCAGATCAGAACCTGGGACAAAAGAGAAGCAGAAAGAAGCACAGAAAAGGGAACCGCCAGAGATGAGGGGCCACAAGGGAGACTGCAGCGTTCCAGATGCCCAGGATTTCCAGGTTGGCAAAAAGTCGACCAAGATCGGGATCCTGAAGGAACAGGCTCTTTTGCCAGAAGGCTCAGTCTCATGTCCGGGTCCTCTGTTAGCAGGAACAGAATCCCCACGACAAACCTGGGCTTCAGCTGGGGCTGTGTGCACCGAAATCTCAAAGGACACAGCCACGGGGCGCAAATGGCTGTGCCAAAGGGGGCAGCAGCACCCAGACCTCATTTCATGAAACTTCACGCGCTCCTCTTCCCTGGCTTCTTACTTGTGTGTGCCGTGTTCCACCAGGAGCCCGGCCATGCCAGCCACCATGCTGGTTTTGAAGAGTATCCTCGCCAGGAGACCAAAACACAAACGCCCCATGGTTCTGTTCTGGGGTGCAGGAAATTTCGGCCGGCTGGACCCACAGATCAAGCAGAAAGCCAAGAGATCGAAGGCCAGGAAACAGATCAAAGACCTGAGATGCGAACAAGCCGGGCCAAGGCTGGGCGAAAACACGGCGGAATGAACCGTTACAGGATCTGCAAGCAAAATGTGGTTTTAAAGTGGAGCTGTCACTGGCAGGAGGTGGTCGTGAGAATGCTCTCTACCACCAAGAGATTTGCCATTCACCTGGGGCCTCCCAAGCTCTGGGGACCCACCTCTGCCCCTTTCTTCCCAAGCTGTCACTCGAAGGCTTTGCAGGAAATGCCAATAGACGAAGGGGACACCGGTGAGCGGCTGTGTCAAGAGGCTTGGTGCCCGAATGCGCCGAGGGACACCAGAGTTCTAGCAGCAGTCTGCTCAGAACCTGTCAGCTCAACTAGAACTGTAGCTGAGACACAAAGGGTGAGCCACTTCTGAGTGTCTCGCCGGAGTATCCCCATCGAAGCAAAGGCCTGGCAGAAACAGGGGCCCTCGGCCTCTGCGAACGCACTCTGCGCACACGCGCGCCCCGCCTCTTCAGACCCCAGCCACCGGCGCTGTCAGGAACCAGGGGATTCGAGGACTCCTCGCCTGAGGCCCAGTTTGATGCTTTGGACGATGTAACCTCGAGAGCCCAGCCTACTGCCAAAGCAGAGCTCCTCAACGCTTCGTTCAGCGCCTGCGGCGCAAGGCGAGACGGCACAAGACCTTACCAGCCTAGCCCGGGCAGAGGCAGCACCTCTGGAGCGATCGGTGTCGTCAGAACCTCGGAGGAGGCTCCCAGGGACCAAAACCCCCTTTCCCGCTTGCCCTTCACAGTTCTCTATGCTTAAGCTCGTTGGGCTCAGCGGCTTTGGAAGTCGGCTGGGCTGCTGCAGGGCTCGCAAGTGACGCGAGGTCGCTGCTGCTGGCACCTACCCGGGAGCAGGCGGACTTGCTGGTAGTGGTGGCCGGTAACGAGAAAACTGTGTGCCCAGCTTGCAAGAAGGGAGAACTCGGTAAAGACCAAGCAGAGTCCTCAGCACCGCATCGCCGCATGGCAACAGGTGCGTAGTTTAGGTCAGGACCTGGATAGGTTTTGAAGCTGCTTCCCAGCAACGGAGCTCTCGCCGCGTCCGAGGAGATGGCCGCTCGCCTTGTGTCACCTCATGGAAGGAAGACATGTATCAGGCATTGTTGGGTCTGAGCCAGGCCTCTGGACCGACAGGAAGGTCCATGAAAGAGTTGGCTCCCTTTCCACGCGGTTCGGTCTGCCAAGCCCTGCGTGAAAGCTCGCATCAGGCCTGAGGCTCGCTGGATCTCACAACGCTCGCAGCCACCGAATCCTCCATACGGCTAAGTGTATCGACGCCTGGCATCAGCATCTGTCAGCACGACAAGTTGTAGGAGCTTACAACGAAACACATAGGCAGATGTTGCAGGGAAGACCGCGGAGTGGAGCCTCGGAACTTGTCTCTCTGCCAAATCGCCAGAACTTGCACAAATCCTCCCAACCTGGCGATTCCGATGCCATTCCACTTTCAGAGAGAGCGCACATCAAACTTAACTGATCTTGCACTTTGAAGAAGAATGCACATCAAAACTTAGCACCAGCACAAGAAATCCAGCCCAGCAGCCCACACTGCGAGGCACACTGCTCCACCTTCTCGTGCAACTGCTGTAAAGGATCTTCGCCGTCGGAGTTCTGCAGATTCTGCAGCTCATCCTTCGAGAAGCCCGCAAACAGCAGCAGTTTCGCAAACTTCCCACAACCAATGGAGCTCTGGCTATCGGGCTCACGTCTACACAGCGTGGCTACATGCAAAGCACCCCACCTTGAAAAGTCGGCGGGCGATGCGGTTGAACGTGGAGAGAACTGAGCGAATTGCAGTGGGACCGTGGTCTGTGTGCTCCAGCCGCTGCAAGAGCGGATCACTCATATCCACCTCGTACGGCTCGTCGAAAGTGCCCTGCCCTTGGACCGGAATCAGCCAAGCCTCTTTCCTCAAGTTCACAGGAGCAAAGTCCATGGGCGATCTGGCAAAGTCGAAGACGTCCAAATACGCCAGAGTGGCTTTCCGATTGCATCCAAACCGCAGATGCAACTCACCACCTGCTTGACGAATAGGTCTCCATAGCCTTTCTGCTTCGCAGAACTCCCGTACCATTGGTAATATCGTCCTTGCGCGCCTGCATCTGCAGAACTTTGCAAACAGAGGAGCTGCAGGCGGGTAGAGATACTCCAGCGCACGCTGTGTACGGGACTGGAACTTGGGGATGTTTGCTGCGTTGTTGACCAACCTCGCGAGCTGCTCCCACTTCTCTCTGATGACCATGTCATCCAAAGCCGCTGGCACCTGTAGCTTCAAGAACCAAGGAGATTTTCCGGTGTTCTCGCCCTGGAGATAGATCCTGCCGGTGTGGAAGGGCAGCTGTTCCTGAGACATCTGAAACTCCGAGGCGTGCCGCACCTGCACGACCCTCGTCTGCGCAGGTTCGCCATCACTCAAGCTGCGCCGGCGACTACAGTATCGCCAGAACCAGGAAGCCCAACACAAAGAGAAGCTGCCACTTTGGCCGCTGCGGCCGTCTTCGCGCCCAGGGTGCACTCCGGAGTGGGAAAAGGATCCTGGAGGCCTCGGGGTCACACAGGCACACAATGCCACACAATGCCACACATCACATTCTCAGACTGTGGCGCTGCAAGCACTGAGCAGCGGGCCCATCAAAACCCAGCAGCGGACGTGACAAGCCGCCCGACTTCCGTCGACGCCACAAGAGCATGGCAGCGCTTGTCACAATTGCGATTACGATGGCAAGCACTCCTTTGGGGCCACCGAAGAAGCTGAGGGCGTAGGCCATAGGATCCAGGCAGCCAGGATTGCTCTTGCGGTTCGGAACCCCCACACCACAGGAGTATGGACAGTTCGAGTTGGGCCATTTGGACTTGGTGTAGTTGCCATTGGCAGGCTTGTTCGTGCATGCCTGACAGGCACTGAGGCCCCCGGAGCTCCAAAACCCGGCATCGCAAGGGTCACAGAAGAGGCCCGCATAGCCAGCGCTGCAGCCTCGCAGAGGCATGGCCTGACCTGCGTAGCCAAAAGTCTCCCTGAGACCATGACCGTTCGGCACCACCCAGGAGCAGTTTGTGCCAGATCCGTCATTGCCCATCAAGCCACCAGCCACGTCCACTACCAACTCGCCATGTGACGGAAACGGTGATGTGGCTGTCCAGTTGAACCCTACGAATCCACCACCACCCCCACCGCTTAGCACGTTTGCGCTCGCAGAGCAAGCACCGGCGCCACCTGCAACGCTGACCACGGGAGCCTTCAGGGAACTCTGGCTGCGAAGACATCACAACGGCACAGACTTCTTACCTTGCCTCGTCCGCAGTGGCTATCTTGGTTGCGAAGATCAGGATTTGTCCACCAGCCCCGCCGGCAGCCACATGCTTGCTGACGACTCCACCAGGGTAGCCTTCGGCCCTCAAGACAACCCAGTTGCCAAAGGTGACACTCCCCGAGGCACTCGATGCTGACAACCAGATCAGCCCACCGCCGGCTGCAGTTCCACCTGGAGTATTGACAGAACTCGCTTCCTTGGTGTCGGGTCCCAGGTGGCCAGATGCACCACCGGAGGCACCCTCTGTCGGCAGGAAACGCTGATTGTAGAGATCGTAGGCTGGCCCTCCGACGGTGGATGCATCTGGCAACACGTTGTGCGTGTCGAAAGTACCTGAAGCCACACAGCGTAAAGCACCAAGTCAAGCCTTCCCCCTTGTTTCGTCCAAGAAGCCGCCACAGCCTCCCCTGCCCAAATGAGTACCTCCGCCTGCGGGCAGCGCAACACTCACAAAGCTAAAACCCTCTAAAGAACTCTAAGACTCTGCGACTCTAAGCGAGGCCCAGGCACCCGCCAGGTAGGCTCCACCGGAACCAGGACTGGACCGGACCGTGTTGCCGGGGGCCCGTCCAAGACCAGCCGCGCAACCACGGCCCGAGACATCCACAATGTTGTGCTCTTCGAAAAAGAGGCCCCCAGCCGCCACGCAAAGGATCGAGGACGCGCCTGCAGGGCGACTTTGGCGACTTCCACCACAAGACGCGCAGCTCTTCACAGCAGAAGGGGTGCACGCAAAAGAAAGAAGGGGAGAGATGTCAGAAAGTGTGCCTGACAGCATGGCGTGGCTCGACAGATTCAAGGAGGTGCGCGCCAGGAGCACCTCGGCTGGGGCGGGGGGGAGCGTCTGCGCAGATTGCAAGAGTGAGAGACAGATTCCGTGGCCGGCGTGACACTGTTGCGACCGTGACAAGCAGCCAGGTCGAAGCTGACGTAGGGATCGTCCACAGAGTCCGGCCAGGATCCCGGCCACGTGGGCCAAGCTGGAAAGCAGCGATCCCTCGCTCCTGCGCAAGGCAAGCAGGGGCATGAGGCATGGGGAGGCCGCCACACGCCGCCACGCCTGCGCTGTCTGCGGTGTGCTTGCAGGTCGAATAGCCCACCGTTTGGATGCGGCTGCTGGACGCAATGACCATGGTACCAGCAGACGCGCGCAGCCCTCAGTCGCACAGGCATAAGCAAGCCTTTTCCCAGAGACCAACGCCGCCGAGCATCTCTCCAAGGTCCATGTAAGGCTTTGGCTGCCGATCTGCATGTGGCCTCAGGAGGCAGCAAGCGCCTGGATCTGAGCTGCGCAGATCTCGGCATTCCTGGCCTTGGGTAGTGACGTCCAGCTGCGTAGGTTTCTCACTTCCCTTGCCGTCGCTCTTTTTGAAGCCTGGAATGGCGGCGTCCAAGGCCAGATCCTTCTCCGCCACAATTGTGATCCTTCCCGCCGACAGAGTTGAGTTGCTGCAGTCGACCTGAGCACACAGCGAACCGGAAACGCATCAACACACTTCCACCAGTTGCAACCACGGCACGGAGACCGCTTTGCCACTCATCTGCAACGACTGCGTGGGGTCGGTCACCGATAGATTGTTTGCACCCTGGAGACATATTTTGCTCTGGTTGCAGTTCATTTGGATGTTGCCACCTGCAACAGCCATGAGAGGCAAGGGCGCTGGAGCAAGCGCTGACAGATTCCCTGCTTGCACCTTGCAGTGCTGCGTCCACAACCAAGATGCCGGGGTCGCTGTTTTCGTCGCGAGACCTCAGAGTCGCCTCACAAGGGTGTCTGCTGTGCACACCTCAAAGCGTGAGCATTTCATGGTTTCTGGACCTGGCTTGGTGTAACTGTAACCATCGAGTAAATCTAGCCATTCCAAGTCCATTGAAATGCCAACTCGTGTGAAACTCACGCAACCTGCAAGCACTCAACTAGCACTCAACTAGCTCTCGGCATTCTTCGCGACACACCGGCCTGCAGGCTCTTGTTTCCGATCACACCACCTTCAGTGCACACTTCGCCTCTCGCTGCGCGACACGGTTTCCAGAATTCTACACAAAAGCACCTTGCTGGTATGTCGCCCTGCTGAGGATCGAAAGCGACCCTGCTGCAGAGGCGGAGGAGCCAACCTCACGGTCAAGAGGAGCCGCGTTGCAACAGAGTTCTGAGCAGAGTTAGGTTGGCTGCTTCAGCCCTCACGTGCAGAAACGCAAGCTCCGACCACAAAGACTGGAACCGAAGCTCCGCAGTCCGCAGGCTTCTTCTCGACTACACAGGTCGGTGACCGTGTTCCAAGCCGCCGACAATATAAATGCCGGTTGCATTCAGCAAAAGGTCTCCTGACGGGTCCACAAGACAGCCGTGCCCAGAGGACCCATATCAAGTAGTCAATGTCTTGGGCGTTTCTCCATTCTGGCCTTTGGCTTGCAGCGAGGACCCCATCTCCACTGTGATGTTTCCAGACGCTTCTATGCTGAAGCTTGCATCAGAGCGCACTGTAGCTTGATGTGTCACCAGCACGTTGCCGTCGAACACGAGCGGCCCGCTGACCACTGCCGAGGCCTCAGGCACCCCGGAATGCCGTCAACCCACGTAATCAGTATCACGCGCTTACCACTCGTGTCGTACATATCTGTCATCTCCTTATCATCGCTTTTCTGCGTCTGCTGCCTTTGATTAACAAGTTCGACTGCCGAGGAGCATTGATGACACAGCGGTTCTGCTCCTGGACGGTGCACTTCCAGTCGGCACAAGCAACTGCGAGCGTGGCAGCCAGTAGCCATGGTCTCATGGCTTGGGTTTGATGCCCATCGGGGCCTTTTTTTATAGGGCTTAGAGTTTAGGGTGGAGGGTTGGGGTTTCCTGGCTTCGGGATGCTCCGGGCTGCTCCGGGCTGCTCCAGGCTACTGTAAGGGCTGCTTCACATCCGGAAAAGGGTAGAAATACCTGGAAACTCGCACTAGCGCTTTTTGGGAGGCACGCACATAGCCCGTGTATAGTGTCAAGAGAAGTCTTGACCCGCTGATGTCGATGTTTCCGAAGAAGCTTCGGCAGCAGAGAGCCGCCTTGTCGTCCCTGCCCTGCAACTTAGCAACTACGTAGACCTGCCTCTCTCTTGACAGGCCTGAACGCAGACCATGTGGTGCAGCTGCGTTGTTTTGAGGTAGGTGCATGTTCCAAGCTCGTGTTGAGCGGCTGTCAGGTTGTGGCCCCTGGATACCAACACAGCCTGAAGTTCACTAAAACAGTGCTTGGTCATTGCTATTTTCCAATTCCAGTGGCCAGTGCAGAGTTCCACTCCGTGTTCCAGCGGCCTCTGCCGAGCGACCCAGATAAAGAAGGCACTTCATCTTCGAAAGCCCCTGACGGCTTTTGCCTAACAACCTGTCCTACCTTCCCGCGAAGGCAGCTGCCGCACCTCGAATTGTTGAGAAGTTTCCTGAAGGCAAAAAACCTCTCTTGAAGAGTGAAAAGATTATTGAATGGGCCATGGACGCAGCTTATAAAAGTGTCGTCAAAGGAAAATACTCCTGCGCCCAAAGACGGGACCAAAGACTTCAGTGCAAACATGTGCATCAGTACTGTGTGGAGTCAGTTGTGGTCCTATGACAACACACTTTGGGGCAGAAACAGCTGCGCTTTGGCACTTTACAGGCTCACCAACATTGCCGTGATGTCATCCGTGATCTCCTCAGCGCACGTGCCGAGCACTCAAGCAGACGTCTTCTGCGACGTTGTAGGGCGTTAGTCCGAGAAGGGCGCATTGTCTGAGTCTTTCATCCACCGATCCCAACTCTCTTTCATCAGTCTGTCAACTGCCTCGCCGAACAACGTGCGAGCAAAAGCCCGAAGCACTGCATCGCCGTGACGGCAAGACCCTGCCTGTTGGCAGTCCGGAAACTTCTGGACCATTCCGATGGCCTAGCGAGTTGCACAAGCAAAGCAAGGAAAGCCTGTGTCACACTTCCAGCTTGTCATATGCAAGGGCCTCCTTGTTCAGAATAAACTCCCAAACCTCAGATCCGGTTGATCAGCCCCCCAATCGTACTCTAGATTTACTCGTGTGGAGCTCCAGTACAACCATGTTCCAACATGCTTGATCAGTTCTCTGAAGACCATCTTCGGAAGCTGTGCCGCACCTCTTGCAGCAAAGTAGCGCCATCAGTGCAAACTAGCAAGACTAGTTTGGAGTATTTCTCGCGCTCTGCCTCAATCACCACAAGTGTCAGATCTCCGCACAAGACTCAACTGGAATGTGCCGGAATCTGCGGACATGGCCTTGAGGTCGATCACGCAAACGTCAGGCTCGGCTGTGAGTCCGGCCTGCTACGACACGCTAGGCACTGAGATCTGCTTTCAGGGCTTGCAAGATGGAGGTAACCGGCACCTCCTTGTGCGCAATGATGTCACCCAGTGCACGCGACATGTTGAGACCTGTCGGTGCAAGGCTCACAACACCTGCGCCCCTCGGAGGCCACAGTCTTCACATTGGCACATGCTGTCGCTTTGCGCTTGCAACACAAGAGCGAACGCTTTCTGCTGAGTTGCTCATGTCTTGTATCAGACAACTGGCCTGGATACATGCCGTTCTGCGCAAACACACGGTGATTGTAGTAGCCTCAGGGCATCAAGCAAGTGGTGCCCTTAGGATGGGGCGCCCAGCACCATCCGGAGACAGTGTCAATCAACTTGGCTAGTATTACCTCGATTCCCGTCTTTTGCCCTGGTCACGACCCAGCAAAGAACCCTTTCCTGAAGACTTAATGCTTTCCCAGCCTGAAAAGAGAACCATACCTCAGAGCTGTCCTGTCCCCACGAATTCTGCTCTTCGGCCAAGTAGCCATCAAAGACCACTCGGCCAGGGGGAGTAGCGCTCTCTATTCGAGCCTTTTCCTGGCAGCACGCCGCCATAACCGTCTGTATTTTTCTCGTTTTTGTTGACATTTCTTGATCAACGATCATCATCTTATAACACTATTTATCGTATTGTAGCGTTCCTGTTTGAGGCGATTTGGATTGTCAGTGGCATTGCACTTCAACACGGACAACTGAGGGCCGAGCTTTTGGAAGGTCTGGTTTGTGATCGGTTGTCAATTCCAGACTTTCCCATGGCGACGAGTCGTCTTTCTTCTTACCGAGCACACTTCTGCTGTCACCAACCTTGCATGAAGCGAGAGTTTGTGGTACCGAGCAAGGATCATGCAGTAGCCATGCTCGCTGCAGCTTGCGCAACGTGCGCAATGGTCAACTTGTCCAACTTCCGATCGTGATACCTAAGCTCTGCAGAAACGGATGCATCATTTCGGCCCATGTCTTCTGAACATGTCGCTATCTTCACGATGCACGGAATCACTTTCTAAGATGTCCGGCTGATTATGAATGCATGAACTCGCGGGTGCAAAACCCATTGCAGCAACGAATCTCCCCTGACCCCCCTGCCCAGGAGAACAGCAAACTCCGACAAAGACACGGACCAGACATGTCAGGGCACGGCGAGCATTAGGGGCATGCTTGGTTTTATGCATGGTATCATGCTTAATCGAAAACATAAAATACTAGAAGACGAGTGGCCCGAAAGCATCATTAGCCATGAGTTTTGGGGCCATGAGTGTCGGCTATAGAGAGTCTATAGAGAGTCTAAAGAGAGTGTCGTAGAGTCAAGTGTGGTAAAGTCAAGTGTCGTAGAGTCAAGTGTCGTAGAGTCAAGTGTGGTAGAGTCAAGTGTG